AGAATGATGCAACTGCAAATATTGCCAGTGGTTTTGTTTGCCAAGGTTATATTTTGCCTTAAGTGATGCAAAAGAACACAGGCTCTATTCCTGAAATAGCTGGTCTATAAATATGATACCTTTAGATATCCAGCTGAGCCAATGATTCTTTTGCTTTCAGACTAAAATGCTGGATTATCTCATTTGTGAGAAAAAAAAAATTGGCATTTTAGATATTTCACCTTACATTCTTATAGCATAAGAGGGATTGAATTTTCCCTTTCGTCTTCACTCAATCTGAGCAAGAAAATTGCTGACATGCTCCTTTATTTTTGATCTGTGCCTTATGGCTCCCCCATCTCCTGCCATGCCAAACTGCACCCCTTTGGCCAGTTTGCAATTAGATTCTGGTAATAATCTTTCACCTTTGGCTTTCCTGGTTTCTCATCCTCCACGAATTTCTGAGTCCAGGTTTCCTTTCCCTTAATGCATCCTAAATACTACGCACACCACAGTGTAGGTTCATAGGCATCTGCAAATGATTAAAGCAACCATAGGTCTTAAAAAGCAAAACAATCCTCATTTTTGGAGGGATTTGGGGTAATATTGCCCCAGATATTATACAGTAGAAATAACCTCAAGCAAGAAGTATTTAAGTTTTCTGATTTGCAAAACCTAAGTCATACAGCCAAGTCAATGATGACCACAGAGAAAGCCAGAATTTCTGAGGTGCTATTTTGGGAAGCAGGGATGTGAAGAGAACAAAAACAGAAGAGAAAGAAAACCCTAATGCTGGAAAATCTGGAATCCTCAGATCAAAACAGTTTTACAAATAGGAAGAAGTGATTTCATCCTCAGGTACTGTTTGATCTCTACCCCAGATCTCGAAGTGCAGAAAAACAGCAAACAGCTGTTCTCACAGGACAGAGAGAAAGGGAAATGAGTAATGACGAACGCTGCTGCTTAGCTACCCAGGGATGTTTGCCCTAGATAGCAAAAGCAGGAGTGCCCACACTGGGACTCTGCAGCTGTTGATAAGGCTTGGCTCTGTCATGAACTAGTGGACTTGTTTCCAGTAGTTGTTTGGTGCAATGGCCTCTCTTAGCAGGTGTAACAGATCCCTTGCTACATCCCACAGCCCACTTGTGCCTTATGCCACTACAGTTTTCATATACTGCTTTCTAAATAATTGGCATTTTTCATGTTCTTGAAAAAAATTGTCACATTCTACAATAAGGCTCTTAGAAAAAAAGCCACGTCTTCAAATAATTCCACTCTGACTGAATACAAGTTAGAGGCTTGGATGTCAGTATTGCAATAAATACATGAACACAATATGTCTACTGAATCTATATTAAATCTGTGGGTTTCTATCGTATTATGGTTTTTAATCACAGTTTTACAATGACAGTCAAAATATCATCTCCATCCATTTATCTTCTTAATAATCAGCAATGCTCTTTTGTCTGCTGAAAGATCTTTGGTTTTGCCCACACAAGCCATAAAAGTAGAAAACACGATGCAACATACTATAAGCTCCTGATCATTTCCATCTACCCATTGTTTGTACCTGCTGAAACTGCTACAGCCCTGGACAAAATGAAATCATTAAGGATACTAACATTCATTAATATAAGAAAAAATTTAAAACTCAAGGTATTTCATTATGTATTCCAAAAACTTCAGAAATCACAGATCAAACTTTGAAGGCACTGGAAAACAGCAGCTCTGCCTTAAGTTAGTCTAACAGTAATTACTCACTACCTTTGAAAATAAGTCCTGAAAGTTGTTTCAAACTGTGTATAAAGTACACAATCCTCAACTGAGAGGAAGTATTTTTTTGATTTAATATAGTAAGCAATGACACTTTCAGCAGTTTTTAGTTGGTCGTATTTGAACTGTGATCTTTGATTTTGTCCTAGAGTTCTTCATATACCTTCTAAAGCCCCAGAAGTCTTGGGTGAGCACATCACAGTCTTTTCTTTTCAATTAAAGTCCCTTTCCTTCAAACACCTTTTCACCTTTGTCTTGTTTAACACTGAGCTTGTTTCCCACAAACCATTATCCACAGAAATTTCTTTGTCTTCAGTTACAAAACAAATCATTCGTCTCTCCTTAAACATTTTTAGACTTTTAGGTGCAGAATTGCAGAAGGTGCACAAGGTGTTTGCTTGTCACTAGTTTTGCTCATCTTAAACCTAACTGCCTCTGTATGCAGTTCTATCCAAACTTAGACAGATATTCGTAAGTTAACTAGTCATATTTCACATCAGAATGTTAAGTATAAAAATAAAGTTTTAACTAAAATATAAATGTCTGAAGCATGGGATAAACATCTCTTGAAATAAAGATCAGGTTTGCAAAGCTGTTCACTGGGCCTGCACTTTAGACATCTAAGGTTAACCAAGATGAATTCTACTGCCTCCACCACATCCTTGGTCCAGTCACTGGGTACTGCAGTTACTTGTTGCTTGACTAAAGGTTACCAATTAAACACAAAGCCACAGCAAGGATCAGAACCATTAGCAAAAACCAAGTGCACAGACTCACCAACCCAAAAAACATGGAAGGGGAATGATATAGATGACTGCTCTTAGTGCAAAACCCACTAAACAAGTGTAGGAAACTCCCTAGAGAACTCCACAAACTGAGGGATTGCCTAAGGGTTTTAAGACTTCAGAGGAGTAAGAATTTAGGGACTGTGTAAAATTTATTAGAGGATTACTTTTTAGTGGATTGCAGCAGTGCGGAAGTGTGCCAAACTTCCTCTGGGATGTTTAAGGTAACCACCAAAACTGTGTAAAGTGAGTGACTAAGGTAGACTGGAGAGAAAGAGGCATAGAAAAATCAAGGACAAAGAGGATAAAGGGGACCAGTCCCACGTAGATAGCTTACCAATTACACTGCACTGCTGCAGCCCACCCCATATTATTATTGCACCCTATTTCTCACTAGTCTTGTGTGCATCTAACTGTCAAGGCTAGCAAATCTCAAGTGGGACTAGCCCACAAGCAGGACAACAGGAGCATGATCCAGTGGAGCAGGACCACATGTCTGAGGCACTTGAAGGTCCAGGGGCCTGCAAAGGGGAAACATGGGCTGGAGATCAGTCAGTGCCTGGAGTGTGTGACAGAGCCCCACTGCAACTGTGTGCACACCACAGATGAGGCTCAGCCTGGCCAGCTGGAGAAAGAAGAGGGTGGAGCAGCAATACCCAGCACAGCCTCTGTTTGCACAGGTGCCAACCATGCACTGCACTCTGCCCCTGGGGATTTGTGGCTGGCAGTGTTTATTATTTGTATAGTGTGTAGGTGTGCACACAGGTATTGTTTTATATTGTTACAAGCTTGATGACACAGGAATCACAACAGCCTGGGGTCCTTTGGCTTGGGAGGGGAAAAAAAAAAAGCCCTCATCCCCAAATCCAGGGGATTCTGCTACCATGAGCAAAGTGAAGAAGGGCCACGCAGACACTGGCAAAAAACCCTCCTGTTGAATTATGCAGTTAGTCTAAAAGGTATATTTCCACATAGCTAAGTGGTCATTTTTGGCTCTGAGTGAAAGCAAAAAAGATTGAAACAAACCACTAATTAAGCAGTACAAAACTCCCAGTGCGGTTACAGTCATTTAGTTTGTTTTAGGTATCTGTAATATATGGAGAGTAAAAGAAATTACTTTATTCAAATATCTGTTTCATTATATAGCCTGGCTATGATAAAATAGAAATAAAACACTGATGACTCCATAGCTGCTGTATCATGAAACAGCTAAATTCACCAAGGCTGTTGAATGAATACTGTTTTAAATATTTATGCAATAAAGAAATTATTTTTCTTTCAAACCACTCCTTAAGTATCTTCCCAAAGAAAGAACATACACAGAAGTTTTGGGTTTGTTCTTTTAATCAGCAGGTCTGTAGGCAATGCATTGGTTTAGAAAATAATCTGTCATCTTCCTTTTTTTCTTTAATCAATGACACCAAAATTTTGAAGGGAAACACTACCACTTTCCTTAGATTTTCAGTATTTTATGTGGTACTAAGAACTTTACTCTGCATGCACTTGGGTACATACATGCACATGTATCCATGGTCTTTTTACATATAATAGTTTTGAAAAATCTAGGTAACTCCATTAAGGTGACTAAGATGAGGTCTGATTACACCTCTGAAATCAATGAGGGAAAAAAATAATAAAAAATCCCCACCAAATAAAAAATTATTAAGGGCTCCAACTCCTTAATTTTAATTTCTAAACCATTTCAGCAATGGCCTGGAACAGACTTACATGAGCACTTCTTGCAAGCACAGCTACCACCTGCCAACTACTACACTTAGATAAATGTATTTGAGTATTGTGGCATTATGTACTTTAGGTAGATGACCACAAAAAGCTTCAGACACAAACTGTAAGGGTTTCCAAAAGGGATAAATCAACAGCAGTTAGCACAACAGGGTACAAATCCATGTCCAGGGATCTTCTGAACTGACAGACTGCAACCACCACCTGCAAAACTCCAAATTACTGATTTCCAACCAGAAAGCCCCAGCTCAGACCTACACTGCTTTTACAACTAGCATGTTTCTAGAAGTCATAGCAAGACTTGACTTTGGAAAACAGACTTTTTCCTGGAATGCTAAGAGGGTGTCCCATTTGATGTAAAATTATATCCAAAGATTTTGGAAAAGGGATTCATAACCAAATGCACAGACTGAATAATCCTCATAACATTAAAATTCCTTTTTTCAGCATAGTTACAATCTTTCTAGCAATTTTTAGCCAACCCTGATCCTCTCAGTAGCACCCCTTGGGTCCTCTATGAAAGCAAGAGTTCACAAAGGTCTTAGAACACGAGGGGATCCTTTGGACATGGCTCACGCCGATTGCTCCACACCAATACCACACCAAAACCTAACCAAGTTCAGAACTGAAAGCTCTTGTTATATTCAGAGTACTGCACCAAAGCTAATAAATTCCAAGCAGCAGGGCTTGTTCACATCAGAGGTTACCATGACTCAACAAATCAATAATCAACAACTTCAACTCACGCAAAACTGACAAGGCTGAAAATTTTTAATCACATTTCAGGAGATTAGTGTGGTTTTGCAAATCGTGCAAGACTTGACTACAGCTGTGTCACAAGCCATATTTTGGATTGCATATTCTCCCTCAATTTTTTCTGTATTTCAGGAAGAAAATAAACTGTATTTGGCACAGAGTGCACTGTATTAGTATAACAGGCACACAGCCAGCATCAGCCTATTTCCTGATCTGTTCCACTTCTTCTCATCATCCTACTTATAGCTCTTCAGATTTGCTTCTCTTCCTGCATCACCCCATAAAGGTAAGTGATCCAGAGAGTCAAAGATACATTATGGCCTCTTATCACCAAAGAACCATAATTTTGCCATGATGATTCAGGAATCTTGCCCAAACAGTACTGCAAGAGACAAGTTAAAGAGTAAGAACCAGAAATACATATGGATTAGTGTCAGCAGATACATTAAACAGGATACTCTATGAAGGCAAATGCTCCAAGTGCTCAATTTCCAGATTAAAAAAAATTAAGTTTACTCTACTGGAGTTTATAAATTTTTTTTTTTTTTTGTGCATAAGCTCAGGGTAAGGGAAGCATCATTACAGACTGTAGTGTTAAGACTTAAAAAGATCTTTTTGTACAGAAGATGTTAAGCAACATTACAGTTGTTACATATGTCCTATCTCTCTTCAGTCTAGACAGCCTTGTTTAATTCCAGCATAATCTTCTGATCAACTTGGTAGCTTCAGTAAAAGGCTGTTTATCCCACTGGAAGTGAAGCACCGTGTTTCCTAGGAAAACTGCAAAGGAAGTTGGGGCTACAGAGACCTTGTGAAGTGTGAAACTTCGATTTATCTTCTATAAACATAAACCAGAAAGTTTGTAATAAATCTCATCTGAAGGAGTTTCTGTGGTTTATAAAATTTATGTCATTTTTCATCCAGATTTTACAAGTTTTAAAGAGAAAAATAATTCAACTAAGTAACAATCAATATTAGCAACTTAAAAGTCTGAAGTTTGGTCAAGTTATGTAACAGTAGTTATGAAGACAGAGCAAAATTATAAATACGTTTACAGATGTCTGAAAATCCTGTTGAATTTCTTTCTGGATAAAAAAATAATATATTGTACCATGAGAAGTACAATGCAGACATTTGGAATAATCGGTTGGAATAATCAAAATCTAGTCTATTGCTTAAGGTCACTTTATTAAATTTGTTTAAATAAAATTTATTAAAAAGACAGCGTAAAGACAATTTTTGTAACTCTGTATGGAGCAGGTTTTTTTGCTTTGACAAATATTAACCTATTTCATCCTTTTTTTTTTGTAGTAACAGTACCAATTAGATATTCTCCACCAAGTTATCTGCTTGTATCAAAAGGGTCAAACTCCACTGCAATATGCAGTGTTGGGCAAGTAACATCAGACAAATGGTAAAAAAACAATTACAGGGGAAATTCCCATAACTACTCAAAGTAGATGATGACTTGAGAAGTCAGAGGATGCACAAACTTGGAAGAAAAGTTGTATTTCTGGAACCATATGCTGTCTTACCAAAGTCCATCAATTTTTGTACAGTGTATTCTTTTAATAGTGACATTTTTCTTTCATTGTGACATTTTGTACATGTGAAAACAATTATTTCACTACTGCCACAATATGCTTCTTCCTCTCTGGCACAAATGGCACAGATCCCGGCTTGCTGTGCTTACGACGATTCAGTTCCCTAGAAACAAAACAGAAAAATGAAGCTCAGTAGTCAGCACAAACGTTTAAGAAATACTCCTCCCCTTAAGAAAGTCTTCCTCCCCAAGCTAATAATGGAGTTATTCTACAAAGAAAACCAAAAAAGTTAAGAATTGCTCTGTTTCTAATAACCAAAAGCCACATACTCCTTTGGGAAGAAGGACCATCCCTTTTAAAAGTAACTTTGAAGTTGGCAAATTTAGACAGGTTTCAAATGAACCTTTCCTTGGGAGCTCAGCTTGGTTTTCATGTCAACAGGAACATCTGCTCAAGTTTGTGGAGTTTTTTAGCTAATAAAATTAAAGACAAAGACCCAATACTTTACTGTTAATTCAATGGCTATAGCAAAATATGCCACCTCCTACTCCTGGAAATTCCAGTATGGCAATGATCCAGGTGGCATAAAACATTCATCCTGGAATCTGGCATTATCAAAAAAAACCCAAAACCACAAACCCACAAAAAACCAAACGAAAACCAAAAAACCCTCCACACACCCCAAAACAGCTCATCCTATTTCCATTGCAATGGGGCATCACAGCTTGCTTAACAAAGCCCTGTGGCTCTTTCCAACATGGTATTTGTTTCCACTGTGCTTTAGGGAAGCAGCCAGTCCTCACTGACATTGGCACTCATCTGCATTTTCCTTATAATCAATCCAGTAGCTCATGATCACTCATTCAGACGTTCACAGGAGCTGTACCACTCCCATGCACCACTGCCACAGCAGCACTGCAGTGATGCACTCTATTAAGAGGAGGAGAAAGGAAAGAAGAGGAACACGTACTTCCGCCGCCGAGCCTCCCTCATGATGCGCTGCTCCTTGATTTGGCAATAAATGCTCTTGGGCAGGTGTCGGTGCTGAGCTATGCGCCGGATCTGAGGGTGAAACTGGAACTTCTCCTTCAGCTTCTGATTGTAATTCATAGCTGCCTTCTCTCGAGGTGCAAGCTGCAGGGAAAATAATACAGACAAGCATGTTGTAAAAGAACAGGGATTTAACTGTCAATCTCCTCTACAAAACAAAATTTTAACTTTTCATTCATATGGCTTCCTTCCAGCAAATTCCTTCAGAATAAGGGTAGGTAAGTATTAAAAACCTAAAATTCCAATACCCCAAAGCTCAAACACAAAATGTTATTCTTTCAAAGCTGAGTGAAGTGACCAAATTTAATTCCCAAGAATCAGATTTTAATGTGCTGTAAAGTGACAGATAAGAACATAAATAGCTGACAGTAAACAATCTTAGTCTGTCCTAACTTCTGATGATGATCAACTTTCCCTGTAAAACAAATATTTTCAGGCATTTTAAACACTAGCCAGTGTAATTAAAAATGCTATAGAGGAACTGTCTTCATGAACAGCTTTACAGACAGCTGTTCAGGTGGCCTAAATCTTACCCAGCACCCCGATCGCTTGGGAAACACAAAGCATGGATCAAATTTCAAGTATTAGCTTGACTATACGGCACACAGGGAGTTCCAAGTTTCATCAAGCAGCTAAAAAAATCTCAGTATCACAAACACATGAAATACGGGTGAGCTGGTATTGCCACAAAAGACTAATTTTTAATTCATTATTAAAATTCTGTCCGAGCCACCATTAACAACACTGAAAGTAAGAAGCACCTTCTCCTGACAGCCAACCCACAGAAGATCTTTTTTCAATTAGGCTTCATCCTTTGGTCCTAATGTTTATTTATCAAAAGGAAAAAACATGTTTCCTGTGGTTCTGTTTAAAGCATGCATTGCTTCATAAGGAATAGCAATGTCTATGTATTTTGGATTTGCTTGGATCTTTGGGAATTTCAGCTGCATTTCAGTCTAGTGAGCTTTCATATAAACATAAAATCTGTTAGTATTAAATATAGAATGACAATAATCCCATCCTCTTTTTCCTACCCTCCTGCCCAAACTCTGTAACTCCAAATTTCAGACATCTCATAAACCCTTCATATTTGCAATTAAACCACGGCACCAGTTTTTTTACCATCCCACATCTGTGTCACACTACACCACCAACTAAAATATTAGAAGTAAAACAATAGTTCAGGCAACTTCTAATTATTCAGTTTTGCAAATGACTCAGTGTCACTAACTTTCAAGAAGACAGAAACTGATGCTAACAAAAAAAAGCAGTACAAAACCAACAACTTTATTACACACACAGTTGGAAATTCCACTTATATTATAATGAGACGTGTTTTCCCCCACCTTGAAATCAGCAATTGGTTTTTTATTCTCCACTCTGGAGATCACTTTTTTGAGTGACTTCTGGTAGCATTTTTAATGAATTCTGAATAAATAAATATCACATTCAGATGATTTTGGTCCAGAATACCATAAATGGTCTGAAAACAAGTATTGATAAAAATTACCACAAAGGAGCTTCTGACTTGAGACAATAAAGAAACAGGTACCAGATAGAGAGTAGCTCATGGCTCAAAAAATTCTTATTCAGACATCAGAGACACATGATGCTCTTAACCTGTTTCTCCACACCCTCTTGTTCATAAAATCCAAATCCTTCTGCTTTAGTTACATTCATTGTGGCCTCTGAAATTGAAATTGAGTAATTTTACAGTCTTACCCCACTAAAGCTACCCTCCCCCTTTTACAGAAATTCCTTCTTGTGAGCCAGCCTGTGAATAGCTGGTTCACTCTCAGTAAATCCCAGGTGTTCCCACTTTGCAGAAAACTGCCAACATAATCCAAATTAAAGAGCTTTATTTTAATTAAATGCAATGATTTTCCTTTAATTTTAGAAGAGCAAATTGCTGCCGATTTAATATAACCTTGATGACTCCACAGACAAGAGGTGAATCTGTAAATTAAAGATACATCCAGGACATGTTATTTAAAAAACTAATATAGATTAAGAGGTAGTGGAGCCTGCCTCCATTTTTATGGGTAATGTGGTATGGAGAAAGGCACACAGCTAGTGACCTTCCACCCAACTACTGGCTGCCAATGGCCAATACACCCAGCTGTGCTAAGTGCACCCTCATCCACACGATGGAAAAAGAAAATTCTGCAGTAATGACGATTTTCCTTTATGAGAGAGAGCAGATAGCTAAGAAAGCACACTGCAATAATGCACTGAACTCCAACTCTCTCTTGCAAATCACTTTACAAAGGTCAGTGAGAATAGCCCAAGAGAACAGTGTTACTTCCTATTCTGTTTTGGGTTGGAGAACATGCACAGCATGATCAGAGATTTCATTTATAGGGACTAGAACACTGTCCAATTTAATATATATACTAAATTAGGATTTATGTGACATCATGAGGGGGAAAGCATGCTTAAAGGTGACATATGACTGTTTTTTCATATGTTCAAATAATGAATGTGCAATTTTTTTCCTACACGAGGAAAATGAAGATTGTGTGGCAGAAACACAGCTGATTTGTGTCACCACAACAGGAGGACTTCACAGAAAATACTTAGGGTGAAAAAAGGGGAAAAAGAACCCTTTAAATGCAACCAAGTTGTCAGCAATAGGAAAATGCCTCCTCGAGTAAACTGCCCATGCCTCTTCTCCTCCCTCCTGATGACACAGACTGCTTATTTTTCCATCTAAGCAGAAGAAAAGTAAGCATTTTTGCAGAGCCCTGATTAGAAGCTAAAACCACCCTTTAAAAAAATTCTCCTCTTCAAGAGGGCCGTATTTAACTACACACTATTAAGACTTCTGTAATTCAGCATGAGAATAGGAAATTAATGTTTATCTGTCCTCTTCAGGTTGTCCTTCTAGGTTAGGGCAGACAAGAGCACAGATGCAATATATTTTTAGAATCCAGATATATCCCAGAAGTTTTCTACACCATAGCTTGTCTTTATTTATTTTTTTATCACTCTGATGAAAACACCTTTCTAAATTCATTGCCGTAAAGTTCATTATTCATTCTTTTCTGGACCAAAAATTTTGATCTCTTTACATCTAAAAGGATGACAAAAGCAAAACACCAGAAAGGTAATGTAGGGCAATGCAGATGTTAAGAGCATAAAATCATAGCTAAAGGGCTGAAGTTACAGGTGCATTGAATCACAAGCTGAAAATCACTATGAAAAGAATGCCATGACCCACAGTATCTGGTACTGCTTGTTATCAGCATTATCTCAGAAAATGGAACCACATACTAGAAACAGACTGAAAGGATAAGCAATTGCTTAAGACTGTTTTGATGTGCTCCTGCTAATGCACTTTGCTAGATCAAAATCAAAATTTTTAACAGCACTTTCTCCTACCTCTACTAGCCCATACTCAAAATCTGGTATTTCTGCATTTTTTAAGAAAGCAGTAAGCCTATGCTCCACTGCTGTTCACTAAAATTCTAAGCATCCTAACCCACTGCTCTGTTCTAATTCATAAAAGTAACAGAGACAAAATTTTGCAGCTGTTACTCACAGAAGTAATGTTATTAAGAATTCACACTCTAAGAAGTTCAGGTACCGTTTCTTTTTAATGTGGCAGTAGACTGAAAAGCAATACAGTTTTTACAAGTTTTACTGATGGCTCATTACTTTCAGTAAAATTCAGAAAAATCAAGTTTATCCCTTTCTTCCTATCAATTACATTAATTGTACACTATTAACTGAAATCTACTCTATCACAGCAGCTTTTTCAGCCTTTCAAATCAGACCAAGCTCGATTTTCCTCCTCAAAAGTCAAAATTATTTACCTTCTCAGAAATCCCACATTTCTTCAAAAGCACAGGTAAAAAAGCATCAAACATACTTAACAAGCCGTATTTTACATATCTGAACAGTCTACAGTTTCTCAAGTCTTAACGGAGTCTTGCTTCTGGGCACGCAGAGATAGATGTTCACTGCTTTAAAAATAACACCTGCTACGTCCTATTTAATAGTACATATATGTCAATTAATGAAAATTTATTAGAAGGTAAATGTAGAAAATTATTTTGAAGCAACCTCTGCATTAGCTCCAACACAGATATTTGGGTTTTGTTACCCCTATATAAAACCTGTGCAGACTTAATCATCAGTGGAGGAGAGACACAAGATGCCTCTGGCTCCTCCAGAGACTCTTCTTCTTTCTTTCATGTTTCACTGATTTTGAATAATGAGTGCAGTGCCAAATACATTAAAACCCAAAAGAAACATGCATGTCAGAACTGATGACTGCTCGGGTGGCTATGGTTCAGAAAGTACAACTTTCCAACTGGATAAATGTTCACCAGCCACAACATGAGTACTATATATTCACTATAACTTCCCTGGAACTCAGCAATGCAAAAAACAACTAAGTACTCACCAAGAAAAAAAAGTTTGATTACTATTTTTCTTTCTCTTTCAGGATGTTGATTTCTACCTACCACCAGCACAAAAATATCCATCTTAAAATACAATGTCTTGCAAGATTTTAGCATTATATCAGAAATACAGTGACCTTTGGATGAGTCATTCAATCAAATCTTCTCAGCAAAGAAAAACAGCAGACCAAGCAACTAAGCATTTAAGACGTATTTTGACACTTCTGACAGAATTACTGAATGTTCAGCTTTGAATATTCAAAACATTCAAAAAATAGCCAGAGACTGTGGAAGAACTGGACATTTATAAAATAAGCAAGCATATGTCTGTGAAGATAAGAACACCAGTACTCTAAAAAAGAACACCAATACTCTAAATACCAATACCAAAGGAAATCAGTGGAACCTGCTATAACAGCCATTAACAGTTGCATTGTTAAGAATCACAGGAACTACCAGTCTGGATCAAACAGGGACTTGCACAGTTGCCTGAATCCAAGCAACATTCCCAAGATATAACCAAGAGTGTGATAAGCCATGAGGACTCCTGAGTCCTATTAGCTACAATTGCTCTCTAAACATCTGGAAAATAAAACTTCAGTGCTTCTAAAAAAACTTTAAACAACTAGAGACACTTCAGACAGCTTCAAATTCTGTATCTTGTTAAATTCACAGCTTCAACACCACCATGCTTGAACACATTCCCACATAAGATATAGGGATGTGAAATGTTCTCTTCTCATTATAATGTACTTCTTCACAAATTCATCTCTGTCCTGTGAAGTGTGATCCATTTTTCTACGTAAGACAGTATGTCCCTTTAAGTTCTTTCTTTATTTCTAAATAGTTTTGCTTTCTTTGATGTTAAGAAGTGTTTCTTTCTACAATAGGATAATAAATGATGGGAGGATTTTCATTTCTGACAGTAAAAAAAACAAAAAACAAAAACCCAACCAAAAAAAATCCCCCTAAGAACAACTCAGAAAACAGGGGGGAAAAAATCCAGTAATAAACCACATGTCACTTGACCTCTGTCTCTTGGGAGCTAACAGCCCAAGTTGTGACAGAAATATAGTCTTAACACACATTACAAAAGTTTCACTGGAATGATCCCAAAAGAGCAGAACCACATGGCAGGCACAGCCTCCAAGGAGAACATTAATCAACAGCACTGTAGTCACAAAGGAAAACAACAAAGACTGTTTTGTGTAGGATTCCTGTCAGGTCAAGGAACATGAGAGTATTAACATACAGACCATAGCCAATAGTTACAATCCAGTAGTTACAACTAAGTAGTGCCTTTTTTTGGGCCTATCCATGACCAGTTTTCCCTGACATAAATACTACAGAAAACAGCAGAATGTCATTTACCAGTCTATATTCTGAACACTTAAACAATAACTAAACTGTCCTTTTTGGTATGCAGTATTTCTGCAATGCAGGAGTAGTTGTGTTTGCCTATTACTTCCCAGAGTCAATTATCCTTGCTCTTTCATAAGAGGAGCCAATGCCGTCTAGTAGTCAATACAGTGAACTTTTTGTTCACATCTGAAAATATTAGGAACCCTTCTACATGAAAATGGTATTTGTGACATTCTTTTCACCCACTTGTCTTTCACACAAAGGGCTCAGAGTAAAGATGAACGTCAAAAATACCAGACGATTCTGTTACAGAACACCATCTTAGAGAGAAACATCATGATCTCTCGCTAAAAATACAGTGAGTAAATGGAAAAAGTTTCACTTAATATCATAAAATCAGGTGAAAAGGGTGTTGCCATGAGCATACCGATATAACAGAAGGAAAACACATAATATTTCTACCCAACACTGCACCATCTAAACAAATTCAACATGAACGTTAAATCCAAAAGTAAAGTCTCTAATGAGCTTTGTGGGATCCCTAAAGTTAGCAACTGTGGAACTGATATTTATGTGTTTAACCTAAGCACCACATGGGAAAATCCCATTAATCAATGTAGAAGAGCAGGGGAAAAAAAAAAAAGGAAAATAAAAGGTATCCTTAAAAAAACTAAAATTAAAAAAATTCAACCTAAACAGTCGTTTGTAATCACAATTACTGCAAAGACCACAAAGCTGTGGGGTTTTTGGGCCATGGCTAAAGAGATACATGTATTTTAACTGTGCTACTCCATATCCAGTGCCTCAGAGTGTAGCCCTAAGTACTCCTCCACTCCCTCCACCTGCTACCTCTCCCAGCTCTGCTTCACTTCTCTCCTACAGATACTTCCAGGTTGATTTAGCTTCAGGTAATTACAAGCAGTCCTAGACATTAGTTTGCAACAGATCCAGCATCTCAGCTGTACCACAATCTTCCCTGAGTCACAACTTCCCTTTCCTCTCCCCACCATCCTTCACAAGATCAAGCAAAGATTCCCCCAGATATTATCTGACAGCTCTGCCGATGGGCTCAGAAAAGGCAGTGTAAGCACCTCCAAAATACCACAACAATATAACGTTACATAAAGGGATTACTACCAGCAAAGTGCCAAAATCACTCTCCAAAGTCACTCAATACTTTGACACAACTGTGCAGATGAATCTATGCAGTTGGTAACCGAAAGGGAACATTTGGGCTTTGTCTGTACATAAACATTTGAACAAGTATAACTGAAAAGACTTATTTTAAGAGGCTGGTGATTGATCACACTAGGAACACCTCCACCAAATAGACTTACATTGAATTAAGTGGACTTCAGATACAACCCCAGTTTGCCCACTTGGTATCAGAGTTATAGAGGTTAATGACAATCTTGGTGTCAAACTAGGCATCAGTGCAAACAGTGTACTTTACAACACATATGCTTATCAAAACATGACTTTTTTTTATTTTTATACTTTTTTTAAACAAACGAACTGCATGAATGAACATGAACTAATTACATGCCAGTCAAAACCTTTAAAAGTAGCAATTCCAAATTTCAGTAGAATTACTTAAGTATGGCTAAACAGAATTCATTACCTTTCACCCAGTGGTAAAGGATGAATTCTAACCGTTAGCACATAGGTAAAAAATTAAAATCTAGTTTAGATAGAACTGATGATTATTGTTAACATTAAAGAAGACCAAAAAAAGTCATCTTGTGTAGCAATAATGAAGCATATAATTTTCTTCTTATTATAAGCTGCAGTAAATGCATTGAGCTATACTGCACATGTCAATCTGCAAATTAAACACAAATGTCAAACTATGATTTTACAGCTTCCCTTCATAAACAAGTTCTTAGAAGCTGAAGAGGCTAACTGGTTTTAATAATAACAAAACCCCCAAATATTTTGTGATAATAAAAAAAGCAAAATCAACTCTTACCACTCCCAGTTTTTCAGAAGCATTAGCTTTCCACAGGCGAATATTCATCTCATCTGAGCCACACAGAATGTATTTGTTATCTGCAGTCCATTTTACAGTGATGACATGCTGCATTCGTTTGGTATGATAAACCTCCCTAGAGCAAAGAGAAACATTTTCAAATGAGCTATCATCACTTTTCTCACCATTACCTTTCAAACAGCAGAAAGCATTCTGTTCTAGGCAAATTTTGTTTTACATTTTCTTGCTGTTGTTTTTAAAAAAATCTGACTTTTTTTAAACACTGTGCTGATCTTATCTTTCTATAGAGATACACAGGAAGTGTGATAGACTAATGAAGGACCACCTAGGATAAGATCTTTTTAAATAAGTGCTTTCACAGAAATTACAGTAAAGAGTTAAACAATAACTCTTCTTGCAAAACATGCTAAGGGTATACAGTAGGAAATGCATCTGAAACAGTACAAAACTGCTCCTGAAATCATTTTAATGAATATCCTTTTACATTGAGAGTATTAGAGAATGGGAATGAATAGATGCCAAAAATCTGACTCCAAACAGCAAAGAAACATCTCCCAGCTGTCCATTTATGACATAGCAATGGATTTGCTACTCTTCATTCAGATTTCCCTCCTTTACCCAAAAACGGACTCAATTTCTTTTTTAATTTCTGCTGATCAGACGCCTGCTCAACAAGTGCTGTTGAAAAATGTTTTTCTATATTACATTTAAACAAATATTTAAGTTAAACTCTTGTCTAATTTTCATTAAGTATGTATCAAACCAATCTGTTCTTTTATTTCTGCTATAAAAATAAAGCACTAAATACACGTTTTTGGGGATTTTAGCTATTTATTAGCATTCTGAAAAGAAGGAAAATGTAAGGCTATTTATTGTCTATCAATAGGCACTTCTTTGATGCATCAGTCATGCACTACAGCTTATTTTCTTTCTTCCACTCAGTTATTTTTGCAAGGAAAACCCAAGTAATAATGTAAAAGAAACACAAAAACAACATATATTCAAGTGTTGTGGAGAAACCAGACTGGGGTTGAGCTGAAGTGGTTTTGAGAAAAAGAAAAGTAATCAATATATCAGAATAAATAAACTTTAATAAGCTGAAGCACCTCTTTTAATTCACCAACAAGCAATACTCTGTAAGAACAACTATGTGGAAGACTAAGCACAACTACCATCAGAAAACATTAATACTCACATCAGCTTTTCACTGTTTAATGGCATGTGTGCACATCTGCACTTTCACCAAGAATTTCTATGCTTACTTTCCTTCTACCATGTAACTCAGTAAGAAAGCTTTTATCCTTTTTCCTTTCCATACTTTGAATTTGCAGTCTTTGCCTCTCCTGTGGCTGTCATCACAAGGTATTAAATATCATTTTTCAGGGACAGGAAAAACAGAAAACATGGCCAAATAACCTGGATCTATCATTTAAAAGTTTGCACAGAAATACAGTTCTGTTTACTAAGCATTTACTAAATTTAATCAACTTCATAATAAATCTTATTTCTTAGGGCTAAACAATTTCATTATTTAAATTTTCATTTAAAAATAAAATAGAAAGCAATTGAAGTTAGGAGTTTTTCAGATTGACAGGATATCAAAAGTATAAACTAGAACAGCATCAGGATCCTTATTTACAGATATTCCTAACTGCCCTTTCAGTTTTCCAAGTAGGATCAGATCTTCTATTTTGACACTTTTCTCCATTCCCGAGATTAATATAAACTGTGCAATTCTAAAGAAGCTCAGCTTCTAAAGAATTTTAAGTGTATCAGAACACTCTAATCAGCTACATGAGGCAAAATTTTTCATTTGTAAGGCTTCTCTTCACTAGACTTATGGCTATAACATAAAACAGGAAAAAGTGGAGACAAAGAGAAAAATCCCTTCCACAGGCCTTGGCAGCAATCTGCTAAAATGTGAAATAAAGCATTTTACTGTTGTGTTATGGGGTCTGCAAACTTCTTCTTAGTGATATGTGTTAACTTTGCACATACCACTTCTGTGAACATTATTAATTCATACAAAGAAGCAGCTAACCATGTTTAATAATGCAAGTCAGAAAAAACCCCCAAAAACAAACCTACAAAGAAACTGCACGACCTAATTACATTTAAAGTATTATTGCAAGATAAAAAGAATGTGAAAACTAAAGATTAGATATAGAGGGAATGTAAATACCCCCTCCCACTCTTTAATGCAGCACAGGAACACAGGTAACACAGCGTGTACAATTTCATCAATCAATAATAAAAACTTACTGCTTCACCAACCAGTATTTCAACACTTTCAGCCTCAAACTACCTAGAACTTGACTTAGTAACAATTTTCTGGAGAGGAAGTCAAATAGAAGTAAAATAAAGTTAAGAATAAAGGAAAAGGAGGAAGAACTGACAAGAAAGAATAATGAAGACAAGTTTATGAAGATCAAATGATACCAGAAAGATCAGATAACTTGCTTCAGTTTTCATCAAACTGAAAGAAAAACAAAACCTAATGGAGACACACTAGATTCAATCTGAACTCAGGCAAAATATTTAATATACGGACTTATGAAACCTTACATGAAAAACAAAATCCATGTGAATTGTGTTCAAAGCACTGTGTTACAAATCAAAACCAGGTTAACAAAATATGAACAAAAGTAATAAGTACACTGAAACAGATCACAAAAGGGTCCCAAACTGATCCTCAGGAATTCATACAGCAATCTATTTTAAATAATGTCTTTAGCAATCATCCACATAGGATGAAGACAATCCCTAGGAAACCAAATGCTACAAGGCTGTAATAAACTTCAAACTTAAGTGGTGACAGAAACAGTATAAAAGCAACCCAAAAATCTGAAAGATGCATAGACAGGGAAATCAAATGGGATTCACCATGGTAAAACGACACAAATAACACAAGCACAATAATCCACTCTAATTTTAATTCCATATTGTGGAAGTACTGCTACTTGTTAAGCAGTTCTACTCTTGATCTATACTCCAGAATTAAGTCAACTACATAGCCTGTCAGCTTCAAGCTACCAACAAAGTAAGATTTTAAGATTCACAGGAAGCAAATGCCCCAATGAAGATGTTAATGAATTAATTAATAATTTTGAGGATTTGGGAGGAAGTCACTGGAATGAATGACAGCAAGAGAGAAAGGTGTAAAACTACTCACCTGCTGTGACCTTTGTCTACAGGAAAAATGCGGATGGACTTATCAAAGCTGGCAGACACAAATTCTTTCCCAGTGGGTGAATAATCCACATCAAGAACAGCAGACACGTGATCCATATGCACCATCACAGGTGATTCAAGAAAGCGCATATCAAAAGTATATAAGCTTTAAAATAAACACATCAGTAGCTTAGAATCATAACAAGTCCTAAGTAAACAGTATATTTTACATAATGCCCACTTAAAGATAGAGCCATATTGCAGAGCAAACTCCTTAAAACAGCTCATAATACATGAAAAGAAAGAAAACAGCATTGTTTAGGGTTTGAAAGAAGTTTGTTCATCAGAGAATTTAGTTCTTGAATCAGGTTTCTTGCTCCCTATCAAAGGACAGATAGGCTCCCTTCATCATCTGACCACGGGTCAGACTCCAGGCATTACTCAGACTCCTTTACTCCATCCTCCAATGCAGGTATTCACCCTGAACTTGTAAAAGCATCTCACAATCGTTATAGCAAGCCTATCAGTTCTGAAAGGTTTCTAAATATTCCCACACTGTGAACTCCTAGTAATTCAGAGTCCACAGTAAAGTTCAATTTGGTTGGCAGCCCTTGTTACTGCCGAATTATCTTAGGCCAGACAAGTGCAAGGAAAGTTTGGCGTGACAAGTCTAGGAGTGCAGGGAAAGCTTGGTCCTTACACATGGAGATGCTAGCTCAGCAGAGCACACTACCTACAGAAAAGCATTCTGTTAAAAGTAAACACCCAGATGCAGGACCACAGCTGGTTGGCTTTTAAGGACTTTAAAGCTCAGATAAGGCCTACCTCTACTCCCACTGAATAAAGAAACTAGGCACAATCACTGTGTACATCATCAAATAAGCATATGTGCTTTACAGACAATGCATTTATTGAAACCTGCTTAAGATACACTATTTAGCAGAACTATTATGTTAAAAAAAACTTAATTCACCAGGTTTCTCACCTTCCTTTCTGCAGATGAATACATAACTGAAATTAAACATATCTTACTGTATACTGCAATAGTGATTATTGCTTTTCCTTCTAAATTCCCCAAGAGAAAGTATGCAGCATCTTATTGAAAACTGCTAGTCCATATCATCAGCAAATGTTTGCATATGCATTGGTGATGTGTGCATTTGCCTTTGCATACTAAATGCTTCAGGCTGCAAGAAGATATTTGTCCCTTACAGCAACAGCTACAGATTTTAGTTTAGCAAGAGGAAGGAAAAAAAAATTTTAAAACCCAAAACAGCCAAAAAGTAAATTCATAAACAAAAAACCCAAACTTATAAACAGATTAAGGTAGTCTAATGGTTTTACCATACTGTAACATAAATACAAGAAAAACAGCACATTGAATATAACACCACATCCAAGGTCTGAGCCAGATTCCATTTCCTTAGAAAAACAGCTTTAAGATAAGTGATAAAATTCTTATGTTCTAGAAGAAAACAGTGATCTATTGTTAGATCACTGACTTCCTGGAAAAAAGGATATGGAGTAAATTTTCAATGGCCTAGTTTTGAAGAGACAGCTTTTTCAATATCAGATTAGCTGTTCACATGAATAGTATTGTTCAAAAGTAAAATACTGCTCCAAGACATTGAAAGGATAAGTACTGCTGTCTCCAGAACTGTCTCACAAAAGATTAATTTTTAAGAAATGTTCTCATCAAAATAGCTGATCAGTACAATGTATCAAGCTTCACAAAAGCTGGCAAGAAAATAAACACTTATATTGCCTCAGACTGGACCAACAGTACTTATTTTCCAGGGCCCATTTCAAGTTAAACTTCCATTGGTTCAGCTGCATTTATTTTAAGTTACACTGCTTTTTACCCCCCATGTACTGAGACACACAGAAAGAGGCAGTCTACTATCAATTCATATTTGTTAAAATCAGCATGCCCATAATTCTCTAGGATATTAAGCAATTCAAATTTAGAGTTTCAGTAAATTTTAAAAATTTATTTTAGCATGACCATAAATCACCAAGATACAGATGAAAAACATAACCTTGCCCAGGATTATGAAAAAGCAAGGTTACACTTACTTGTAATCTTCATTTGCTGCAGTAAAAATGAAAGCTTCCATAGGGTTCCAACACAGTGTATTTGTCCTCATGTTCAAGATAACCTGAAATATATTTACACATTGCTACCTTGTTATAGGTAGTAAAATACTCACTGTAGTTCAAAACTGCTACATACCCCCGAAGACAAGCACTTTGTAGATAGAAAATTATGGCAGAGGAACAGTACATGACAGAATGCTTCCTCAGCAGTGTTAGAAGTGAAACCCAAGAACCTCCTGTCCCTCATTACATGTTTACTGCTTTGGGCTACACAACAATTAAGTTTTCCTCTGTAAATCATCTTAGAATCAAATTCTTCTAAGTGGTCATTTAACACGGCAATCTGCTAGTGGTCAACAAGGAAATCTGGAACTTCTGAAAAATTTCAGTTCTCTGTCCTATTTACAGGAACCTTTAGTTAAGTAATCTACAGACATACCTAATTAAATGGATATTTCAAGGGATATAGTCATTAATTGAAGCTGTGAACCAGCATTTACAAAGCAATTGTACCACTTTGATGTTCTCCCAGTTATTACCCCTTCATTATTTTTTGTCTAAAATTGCAGGTCAGGAATTCTTCTGAGCAGTTGCCATTTCTTGCAGAAGTGCCAAGCAATGTACACAGAAGTTACTGGGTCCTCACCTACTCAGCACTATCACTGTATCAGCAGTGAATCACTCCTCACACATTTGTAAGATTTGCTTGCTGCTTGTAAGCATATGGCCAACAAAGAGGCCAGTTGGCCCGGGAGTGAGAGGAAGGCAGCTGATAACAGCATAATAAAACCCTTCTACTTTGCTAAGTGCAGGCTAGACAAGAGGCATTAGCAAGCTGGATGTTGGATATCCCCACCTTGCAGGACAGCTGGGCCCCCATGGAACAAGGCAAGGCAGGAAGGAAGTCATTTGACACACCAGACACAGTAGCTTTGGCTTCTGCTGAGTCTGAGAGGAACTTCCAATCATTTATTTGAAAATAAGAACTATACAGTATGCCTGACACAAAGTGGATGTGTAATTACAGAGCAACTTATTAACAAACTGAACAACTCTAAACAAGATTTCCTATAATACTCCAGGCCAGTTATAATCCTACTTAAAAATCCTGAAGTTTGGTGTTTAATGCTATGGTATTCAAACCCCATTTTTGTTCTTGGCTTACTACACCAAACACCATAAATTTACACACATACAACATATAGTTGCACAATTATAATCCTTACAGTCTCAGAACAAGTAAATAGTGATGACTTTACTGAACATCCCTCCAAAAAATTGCAATGAATGTGTGCCTATTCTTTTAATTCTCATTCTCCCTAAATCCTCATTTCCTAGGTGACACCATCCTGTTCATTATAAAGTCTGTGCTGCAGAACACCGCTTATTTTCAAGAACTGCATGCAACCAGACCTGAATGTAATCAACAGATCTCTAAAGTGATCTCTAATTTAAAAAGTGGACACTGAAATGTCCTCTGTTAACACTAACGTGACCACTAGAATTTGCTCAGATTTCAGTACTGTTCTAGTTATAGATCTTCACAAAAACTGGGAAGTTAATAATCAAGGACTGTTCTTTATTCCTTCCTGTACAAGTTTATCAGCCACTGCAAAATGAGCACAGAATTAATGTGAACCACCATATGTATAATAAATACTTTAAAACATGTTACAAAATAACTGCAATATTGCCAAAAAATCCAGCTCTTTCAAAAGGAGTCAAATTCTGTCATGCTCTGAATCTCTATTTTTTCACAGAAATTTACAAGCCTTCAGTTCATTACAGCAGTGGCTTTTGTAATTAAAATAATGCCTAAAAAATGAAATTGTCTCTACAGTTCTAGCATTAGGTTTAATAACAACTGTGTAAGGCAACCTGGGCTGGAAGTGATTTAAGTTGCTGTAAATACATTAATAATGGCATTTCAGAACTATCTAAACCCACACCAGAGCAATTTTTTACCTCTATTTTTAATGTATTGTACATCTTCTCATAAAATGGGTAAGTTTAAGTCCTTATTAAGTCAAAATCGTGAAATCCCTGAAGACTTGGTTCTCCGGGTTTTATTATTTTAACCGTGAATAGTCGCTTACAAATAATGTCAGCCTGGAAATGTTGAGATTACTTTAACACAGAAACACTACTCAAATAATTAACCTGTCTTCCTTTACTACCTACAAGGAATTTGGTTGAGATGAACACCTAAGAATGTAACAATCAAGAGAAAAAACAGTTCCTTTCAGCTGTTCAAATGCTAAAGTCTATCTTTACCCTAAGCTTTCCTGATTCCACAGAATGCACAAGAATGACTTTTAAAGCGTACCAACTCCTATCAACACACTTTCCTCTTGTCTTTAAATAGAATTGCTTTCATTCATCCTTCCCAGCTTTTTTTAGACTAGTTCTTATTTTGAATCTAGATAGCATTTCACCATCTCATCCCTCCCTTTTTAAAACTTAAGGCTTTGAAACCCACACTCAGGACAAACAGGCAACAGAGCTACTGCTTCATGATGTGAAAAGCTGAAATGAAAGGACTCCCACTGAGTTCCAACTGCTCTGTAGATCAAATCCCAGGAAAGCAGCAGTGCCAGAAACCAGTGCCCGTACCTAAGTAATGTACCTCTAATAAGCAAACCCCTTCTCTTAGGAGTTCCAGAGCTCTCAACTCTGAATGCAGAAATGGACATTTCACCTCCTTTCCACAGCAGAATTATCCCTATCCCAGGAGGAAACCCAGTATTATGCCCATGGAAGCAAGGAATTACTAAACAGTGTTTTATTCCTACAGCAGGAAACGAGAAACGCACCTCAGCACGCTGCTTACAATGAGATACACAAATACAAACGTGCACATAGTCTATAATTCTAGATTCACATATATGTGCAGTCCTATATTTAGCATATATACATATGTAAACTTAGTTCACAAAGGATCAAACTGCATCCGTTTGACCTTGTAACTGCAGCTCTACAGCACTGGCTGTGTTCATTTCAACATCCAAGTGTTCAGCTGCCATCACTGACAAGTTTTTATAAGCACTGCCTCAGTGGCCCAAGAGAAACTCCACTAAAAATTGTTGGGGCATAGGGAGAGAGAAATACTGTTATGCCAACAACATTCCTTTTTGTAACTAAATACAATTTTAATATTCTAGTGTGTATCAGATCAATGGCACTGCAGACAGTACGTAACACAGGAGAACAATGAGTGCATATTCACAAGCCAAAATACTGAATTTCAAGAGGAATATTGTTAAGGTAGTTTTGGGGCTCAGAACTACTAAACTTGATTGAGGTTTGGTAAGTGTGTATGAATTACCAGCTTTTTATCTAAATAAATGCAAATATTCTGTTAAATAGGAATCTTTACGTCACCGGTACGTTCCACGTAAAAATACTATTTTGATTACACTGCAAATGATTTCTAAATGGTTATGGTAGGTGCATAGGGAAGGGTTTATCTCCCTTTGAAGGAGAAACACCTTTTCAAATGAAGAGCAACGCTCTCCAGTGGTGAAGTTACCTTGTCTCCTTCTGGCAAGGAAGAGGAAAAAAAAATTAAAAAGTAATCACATATACACAGACAGAATGCAATACAGGAACATAAAGTTCTTACTGTGAAATTGCTGTCAGGTCAGGCACTTGATCACGAATTACAACAAACTGAGCATGACAGCCTGTCTGAATGCAGAAAAAGGTCCTTCTAACTCTGCATTGTTTAAATCCCAACATTAATTCAAACTCAAGACTCAGACAATGAAAACTCAGTGAACTCAGAATTCAGAGCTTCCTGTTCTTTACTGTCACCAACAGTTACAGGCTACTAACATATTCAGTATGATTATGAGCACCAGTAATTAATCTTAAAAAGAAAAATATTACCTTCTTTAATGGAGTTGATTTTCTCATATCATATAGCACAATATTTCTGTCAGAAGCACAGCTTCCCAAAAGGTAAGTCTGGGGAAAAAAACCAAAACCAGTGTGTATAGTCTTTAAAATATTTCTGGAGTGTGGTTAACAGCTTACATCAGATACCTAGGCTATTTTACAAAGCTGGTCATGAGTTTCTTTTTCAATCAAGGAAATACATTCATCATTTTTTCTGTACAGCTAATTACCTAGCACAAACATTTTCAATAGTTTTCCCTGTAAGATTCAGAATCCATGCAGTGCTGTCTACTTCAAAACTAGCAGACAATTCCCAATAATCACTTTTTTTATGAGTATAACCCAGTCAAGGGGTATAATAGGAAGTGTTGTAAAAGATCAAATGCAATTGTTTTGCCACGGAGAGGGTGAGAAGTCTCAGTCACAGGTAGTACAATACCGGAACAGATGAACTGGCAGCTCCACAGCCACTTAAGTGCCACACTGTATGACTGAGGTACAACGTATTGTTGTGGGCAGAATGGAGACTGCCCTGTTCCTATTTCTCCTCTCCCACACTAACAGAGACAAAAGATAGGAAGATAAAATTATATGGTACTACATTCCAAAATAATTCACCCATCAAAATCTATGTATACGTCCTCCTACATATTCTATTAAAACATAAAATCTAAATTTGGAAGAAAAAATCTCATAAACTCTGTTTACACAATTTTATCTCATACTGCTCAAGAAAAATATAATTTCCAAGATATAACACAAGCATTACCTCAATGGGATTAAATTTTACACTGCTTATGCTATCAAAACCCCAAGTCAGAGAACACTTGGGGCTTGTCCTTTGTTCATCCCAAATGTCCACTTGATGACCACAGGTAGCAAAAACAGGTTCCTTCCAGTGGTGATCAATTCCTGTAAACACTGTCTTTAGGAGAGAAGGGAAAAAAAT